CTACTGCTCCTATCTAAAATATTTATGGTGCACATGAGGTATTATTAATGCAGTACGCATCTACCTGCACTGTCAGGCACACACAGCCCCTCACCCTGTCAAATATGATGTGAATGCTGCAGGAGCCTTCACTTTGGCTGGAAAGGTGTTCTATGAGCACCTATCCCTGCAGGACCCAAATCCAGCCTAACCTCCCCCCCTGCACAAATAGGCAATATCTCACCTTTGCTGCTCAACCAGCTGCTTCTCTCCTGACCACTCCACTTTCCATAACATTTTTAGCACTGATGTGCTGTCCTATGTGCTGTAATACATTGTACTCCACTCCTGTATCCCATTCCTTCTGCTGTATGAATTCTGCCACTTAAACAGTGCTATAAAACCTATGCAGTCAATTATGTACAAAGACCTCCCCCACTCCCTGCCCCACCTTATCAGGCTGGCTCCGTATTTAGCAGTCACTACTCATCTCAAGACATACTGAATAAAAAATAGCTACCTGCCTTCAGGGAGCTATTCTGCCTCTTCCCAAGAGGCTGCTGAAGGTGGGATTCCATCTATATACCGCTGTAACTACAGCTCTCAAGGTCACATCCTTTCTGAGCAGTGCTGATCAAGCTTAAAAGCACAAGAGGGTGTGCTGTTGATGAACAGGTTGACTAATTTCTTGGTGTATTACAGAAGCAATCCCCACATCCTTTCCAGCTTCCATCTCAAAAGGCTCCTTATAGCCTGAACTGTATTAAGAACACATTTCATTACATTTTGTAAAAGGACTATGATTCTAAAAGGAGAGCCCTACAGACAATTTGCCATAAAAGAGTCTAGAAGTCCTTTGGCTCTGGATACCAAAAAAAGAGATGTTCAGTGAGTAGCTACAACACAGATCTCTTGAATGGTGTGTTTAAGAATCAGTTCTTTTGGTAATTCTCAATTGTTGATGGATAATTTTTGGTGAAGGAAAGTGAATTTTTCACATGGCCACACGGTCACAAGCCAAGCCAATATTTTCTCCAGCTTTCTTTTAGTTATTGCTCCACAGTGAAGCAGAGAAAGGCTGGGAGAACTACCTGTCCAAGTCCCAGCACTGGTTCACATCAGCCCTGTGTGCACAGATGGGAGAACTGGTACACGCTGTAGCTTGAAGGAACAGCACAAGGCAGAACAAAGCCAAGAGGCGTGAGGTGCTCGTGCCAGCAGTACGCGTGCCAAGCTGAGTTCTGTTCCTGCCCTCCTCACAGCGGTAGGTTCAGGCTGATGCTGCCCTCACGATGGGAGAAATGATACGGCTAACAAGAAGATGCTTCTTGGTGGAAAGGCAGACTCAGATAATATAAGAACAATCCTTTAAGACTTTGCTAGTCATCACCTGCTGTGCTTTTCTAAGGTAAAAATCACCTTAGCTCTCCATAACTTAATTATCTCTGCAGTAGCCAGGGAGAACAAAGAAGCCGACGAGTACCACTTACTAAGGCCTATGGCAGCTAACAGTCTTTTGTTCCAAGTCCATTTTTGTCTTCTGCTCCATTTTCACAAAGAGGTTGGCAAGAGTAACTTATACACAAGTCCAGAATCTATTGTTTTCTGAATGTGCTTCAGCCTCATGCAGCTGCAGCAAAACCCAGCCAAAACAAGACACAGGTCATGCAATAGCCAGGATGGAGCTGGAGGTCTCTGCTGAGTCTCAGGGATTTGTTGGCAAGTTATGCCTATATTCAGAGTTTTATCCTTGCAGTATTCTTGGTGTCCTGAGGCTGGTAGGCACTTGGGTAACTGTCCTCCCATGCAGACTTTTTAAGTACATACATATAAGAAAACCCTCACTGCTGTAGAGATTTGTAACCGGTGCTAAGATTGGTCTGGATGGATTATGAATGGAAACATCCATGTGTGTGAAACAACCGACCTATCAGCAGCAGACTTGTCCTCCAACAACAGGGGGAGAACAAGGCTAGAGAGCATATCACTTCCATAGCCTATCTGAAGGCAGGCTGTAGCCATAAAGATCCCCCAAACAAGGAAACAAAACAATAACGGTACTGCTCAAGATCCATGGAAATCAAAAACAGCAAGACCCCAAGGCAAAAGATCACTCCACAATAACAGGCAGTCCTAGAAAAAAAACCAACCCAACCAACCAACAACCAGTTGAAGAGCCTGTTTGCTGCAAAGAACTCAGAAGACATAGTGAGAGGGCTTGACAGATGGGGTCCCTGGTCTTCCCTGCAGCACACAACCAAGCCTGGCTACAGCACTACATGGGGCAGCGAGAGAACAAGTGAGTGACACCTAGAAGTGTGAATGACTGGGAACAGTTGTGTCTAGCATAAATACAACCTTCCCCTTCTATAAATTCTCACATTGAGTTTTGTCATTCTGGGAGACACATCTTTTAGACCAGCTAATCTCCAGGGCACTTCATCTTCAGGTGAAAACTGAAAGCTGTATTTTGTTGAAGGAGGGCCTAGCATATCTGAGGATAAGTAGATCCCTACATAATAAGCTTCCCCATAAAAAGAAGAAAAAAAAAACTGGATTTCATGCACTCTGGTGGTATTCACATGAAAAGCAGCATTCCTCAACATCACACACTACAAAACATTCTCTGAGTGCGGTACTTTGCACCGGCACAGAGCAGCTGTAGCAACAAACATGAAAGCATCACTTTTTAAAAGCATATTTGTATTACTGAGAGCAGGTACTCAGGCATTCTGCAGCAAAGTTTCACCAAATCTTTGATCATGTCAGTGTGCCACCTTTGGAAGTTGTCCTTTTAGTCCTTAAATTGAAAAGGATTATGAAAACATACGGACGTTGAGACGCTGAGAAACAAGCCCTCTTGGAAGATGAGGTTTTGAATCCATTTTCTTCCCTGTGTGAGTACACTGAAGAGATGCACAGGCAGGAAGAACTAGGGCTTTCGTCTTGCTGAAAACTGGGTTTCTGACAGTCACTGGTGAAAACTCTCTCTGACCTAAGGGGTATCTGCAGCACTCAGAAACCCAGCATTAAAAAGAAAATAAACTTGCCACAGCTAACAGTCATATGAATCTTCATTTTGCCTCCCTGGGAACAGAGCTACAATAAATGAGAGAGGTCAAGAGGAATGTGATTTAGAAGAATACATTTCTATTCTCTGTCCTTCTATCCTCTATCCCTCAAAGCTATTCCCCAAACAATTTCTTTCTTTGCTGCAGGAAAAGAAAGCAAAGAGACTCCCCTCCCACCATGTTTCAAGAGAAAAGAGCCTTCTCAGCTCTTTGTACTCTCAGCCCTTTTTTCTTATCACTTACGCCTCAAGACAGATAACTGCGATTCCCATCGGTTTTCCAGAAGAGATCAATTCTCCCCCCTAGGAATAAAGTGTCCAGGAACCACTTAATCACACTTTTCAGAGAAGTAAGAGCAGAAACCATCCCATCCCTGGCAGAGGGGCTGAAAAAGATGTTGCGGCAGCATTCGAGGTTGGAATACCAAATGTTAGACTTGTTCTAATACATTCGGATTGCAAGACAGGATTTTCCTTTCTTCATTGAGCTGATAGCTACACGCCGCCTGCCTTCAGGGTAAACCAGCACTTATAAAGGTGCAGTATTTTGTTGGCAGAAATACTCTCCTTCTAGGAAAGCCCAATGAAAGCAGCCAGTGTATGCAATGATAAGACAATGACAGACCTTTCAGAGAATTATATTCCTTCCCAAGAGGGTAAGCTATGTAAATACAAAAAGGAAGGAATTCTACTCTGCATGAAAGCAGATTCTTGCCCTGTATTGCCAAGGGACTGAACTTAATCGCTAATCCTCTCCATCTCGTAGTGGAGGCAGAACTCCAAGCCACAGGACTGTGCTGGTGTAGCAGGAATATTTCCCTGGAGACAGCAGCTCACGGAAGAGATAAGGTACATCAGAGCTTTGGAGTGACAAGACTGCTATCACAGCCTGTGCCTCATTACTATTTCCAACTTTCAGCACAGATCTATGATGCCTTTTCAGGATTAGCCTACTTCCAAAGCTAAAGAAAGTCTTGCTTAATTTATAGCCTGTTACTTATTTAACACCAAAATCACATTAATTGAGAGCATCTTCGGACTATCTCAGCATTTTAGCAGTACAGTGTACTTGGAATATCACAAAAGACTAGAGAGAGTGTAGAGAACAATGCCAAGTGTGGTATTCGGCTTAAACAGAGCACGTTTTAAGTACAAACATTCTGGCCTTAGACCTAGAAGCACGGAATCTGGTAGGATATATTACCTCCTTTTCTAAATACTGAAGGGGTTTTGCCTCCAAAGAGTCCCATGAATGGTCATCTTAATAAAATTATTATAATCTCCAGAAATGGTTGCAAGTAATGGAAATATAAAAATCAGAACTGGTGACAAGTCAGACCCCAAAGTTCTGGCCTAAGGATCCCCTCCTTTGCATAAAACCTCAATGCAACAAAGTGAGTTAGAACTTTTCACAGAATCAAAAGTCTTTTCCAAATACTTTATTTTACGACACTGAGATGAAACAAAAGGCTTATTACCAAAAGTATGCATAGGCTTCTGTATATGTATTTTGATATCAAAATGGTAATTTTGCTACATGCATCCTTCTCATCACCTTGGCACCCATTCCCCCCCAAACCAAAAGGCTATGTTGACACAGGGGAGATGGACAACTATTGTGCAACATTAAAAACTATTGGCTTATAATTTATTACCAGTAATTAGTCTCAGCTATTCATCCTGAGTTATTCTTCTAAAGGCAAAGCAGTTAAAAGTAATGGGTATCTGCTTCAGCTCAGAATAATGAGGACACTAAAAAACAGTATATAAACAACTAAGGCACATGCCAGCTATGCAGACAGAAAGACCTGCTCTAATTGAACGGGCAGTACACCTGCAGCATAGGCAACTGAGAAAAACACATCATCTATCATGCTGGAGGAAAATTAGTAGATATAAGAAGAACACTGCATCCCACAAGTGATTACTCAGCTCCCTTTCCATGACTTACTTTCCCTCCGATCCATAGCTGTTCATGCTGTCCTCAATGGACTCATGGCTGGCTTGACGGACGGTCCGGCTGGGCATTTCAACAGCCAGCCCAGTTTCTGTGCTCCTCTGGATGGCTCCTTTGAGTCTTCGACCATCCCCATCTAGGAACAAAACAGGAGAAAAGGCAGTTAGCTATTGGCTCCCAGCGCCTTTTGCAGTGGCAAGCAGACACTCAAAACATACACACTGCCCTACCTACTCAAACCATTTGTACCAATGAATTATGCACTGAGTGTTGGTGCATAAAGGCTGTACGTGGAGCTATCCAGCCTGGGAACAGCAGTAACCATGGACATAGCCAAGGCATACAGCCTGACCATACCTCAAAACATTTCCTAAATCCCATGTTGCTGCTCAGACTGTGCAGAGCAGCAAAGAGCCGCAAGTCCTCATGAGCATCAAGAGAGCAGAGGAAAGAAAAAGGCAAGGCAGCACCAGAGGTGGTGGGAAAGCAGAAGCCCTCCAAGATGGGCTATAGGGGAATGGTTGAGAATGGTCAAAATGTTCCCTGATGGCACCTGGAAAGGTACCAGCAGTGGAAAACCCTGGAGAGAACTATTCCCCTCTGTACTTGCCCTCAGCCACAGCGCAAAGGGAATTCAGGAGGTTATGGTTCCTCCTGGGTACAGTCTTCAGAGGCTCAGCCCTCTGAAATTAACAGCTGCTATTTTCATCCTCCACCTCAAGCAGTCTGTTTCTCAGAACAAACCGTGTTATGTAATGAATATGTAATGAATACCATTACTATTAATTGCTTTAGCTGGTGTTCGGAAGCTCCAGATTCCATCCCACATACAGCATTCATCCTGAAACACATCTGCTACAAGTTTTCTGAACAAAGCAGAATTATCTACATCCTTTAAAGATGTTTCCCTATTAACCTGGATTCAGGCAACAAAACCTCTGACCCACTGTGCTCTCAGAAACCCACTAGCTTTTTGACTACCACCCCTGGAGAAGAAATGACCCAGCTACAGAATCTAGAGAACTTAGGATCCCCAAATGTTAAACAAACTATTTTTTCCCAGCTGCTTTGGAAGTATGAGGATATCTGTAAGAGCCTGTCTAATCCATGCAGAATGTTCTTATTTGTGTAGCACGCTGCTTGACTTAAAATACTTTTCTTTCAATGTTCGACCATCCCCATCTAGGAACAAAAGGGGAGAAAAGGCAGCCAACTATTGCTCCCAGAGCATTTCGCTTTAGATCTTGATGTGAATAAGTAAGATATCAGAAATGTTTTCTATTCTATTCTACTTCTCAAATTATACCTACTCTGAAATGCAAGACAAAAATTCTGTTATAAATACAGCTATAAAGTCCCTTTTCCTTTGGTATTATGAGGTTTCCAACTGGGTAAAAGTGTTGGCCCCAGGGCTCTGTACCAGCTGCTGTCCCCACATATGGTGCAGCATGTGCACGCACGTCCCCATGGGCTGAAAGGATAGAATATGCATGTTCTGGGTTAACATTAACTACAGTTTGTATTGTTTGTGTGCCTAGAGCAATGTATGAAGCACACTGTACAAATCAGGAAATCACACAAACATAAAACATATTTTTAATGTGCTTCCAAAATCCAAACCTTCAGGCAAGAGTAACAATACAGGCATCAACAAAAGCAAAGCTTATGAAATGGCCTTACCAATTTCCCCAATCACTGCAGAACAGTTGCCTTTGACGCACCATCTACATGCCTCATTGCTGTATGGGGTTTGTAGGTTCCCTTCAAAGAGCATCCCATAGACTTGCGGGAAGCTTTTATGGTCCATTTCATTTGCCTCACATTCAGCTCCACAATCTTTTGTCATCTACATCCATCAATGTCCACCCCTCCTTCACGCCTGCACTCTTAGAATGCTCGTCCTTCTGCACCTTTTAGGTTAGTCCTTAAAAGAGCCTTGGTATGCAGAGTCAAAGCAGCACATGACATAAATGTAGGAAACAAAAATGCCCAGTTGCCCAACTATGCAATATCTGTTTAGAAAAATCTCTTATTTCCCCAATCTAATGAGACATTCATACTTAGAAGACTCTGTATCCACATCTGGCAACAAATGAGAGAGTTGGGGCAGAGCAAGGCTTAAGAGCAACCCAAGGTACTTGATGCCTTCTACTGGCCATCTCCTGAGACAAAGGTAAGGACATAAAGCAGAAGGCCCCAAAGACAAGGAAAGGCAGCACCACAGATAACAGGCAGCACCAGAGTCCAGCACTGGAGATGATTCAGCTGGCACAGGGCAAGATCAGCTGTAACACCCCATGAACAGCTTTGTACTTCTGGCTTCCCGAGTGGGTGCTTTTCTAGTATTTCTCATTGCTTTTACAGCTGTGACATGGATATTCTCATTAAAAAATAATGGAGAAACTCTGAAAAAGATGACGACAGGAAGAGATGACAGGAATTCTTTGTTCCTCCCTCGCCTTCCAGGCAGAGATGCACAGCAATTCTTGCATCTCAGAAACCATCTCCCATTATTCTGGAGAAAGGTTTTGCCAGCCTTTTTCCCCTCCAGTCTCTTTTTGCCTCCCTTGAACAGGAGGGAAGTAGCGTGTTTTGCCAAAAAGACAAGCTCCCAAACCACTGCAGGCAGAGTGGAGACTAAAAGAGGGTAAGAGATCAGTACAAGCACCACTGACACCATCAGAAATCCGACACAGGTTCCTAAACTATTCATATAAACCCTTTGGTTAAATTTTACCTGTAATAAGCATGTAATAAAAACAGTGTTTTAACCCCTTCAGTGGGAAGGACAGATCAGTAGCAGTACACCTGGAAAGGATCAGCACACAAAGGAACTAAATGTGGACAAAGCTGCACTGCTCAACTGCAGAGTGAAAACACTTCACAGTCACCCACTAGCAACTAGTATTGAGCATGGCATAAGGGTTGTGCCTTCTCCCTTACCTGAAATATTGTGCTTCAACACCTTTGCATATTAAGAAAGTAAATGATATGCACCTATGTGGGTGTTGTGGTAAAAACATTTGTCTTAATTCTAGCAGTATCTGGAATAAGTAAGAGTTGATCGACATTTTCTGCATGCCTCCAGATTTATTCCTTGCACCTTTTCCAATTAAGCAGGAAACAGCAAAGGTTAAGCAGCGGGTCAGGCTTGCAGTGCACCGTGTAGCTGAAGAGCAAGTTCTGCTTCAGGATGACCTTGGGAAGAAGACATTTTTTGCTCAAATATCCAGGATGAAGATACACATCACCTCACAGACGCCAAGAACCAGAAGGAACCAGCAGACACTTTGCCAAGTTCTCTGCTGACAGGCGCTTAGATTTTGCTCTGTTCAGCCAAACAATTTACACTTGGCCTAAGAATATCTTCTAAAAGCCATCTACTGTGGATTAGAAGATATCAAGAGATGAAGCATCTGCCATTTGCCCGTGCAGTTTATTTTACTACCTGACATTTAGAGATGTGACTTAACTTTGCCTGGTTTCAGCTTTCACCCGTCAGGTTTTTAATGCCCTTCTCTGCTGCAAGGACTGCTTTGTGTTCTCCCTATAAAAAGTCTTCTGCAGCGTAGAATCAAGTCACCTCTCAATCTTTTCTGACAAGTTAAACAGACTGAGCTCTTTATGTTTCTCATCCTCTGGCATTTTTTAATCCTGCCCTTGAATCTTTTTAATGACCTTCCCAGGTGTTAAATGCCCTTTTGAGAATGCACACGGGAGAACTGGAGACTGCGTTTTAGTGCAAAAACACATGCAGAGGTAAAAATCAGCTTGTACGCTCATTTTCACAGCTTCTGGTTGCATCTCCCAAGACCCCAGTAAGCTCTTAGTGCAGCACTGCACCTCACCTGGTTGCTGTGCAGTCCCTATGTGTCCTGCTGGTACAACCTTGTAGAAGATTATACTGACAAATATGCAAGATAACACATTATACTTGGAGAGAGAGAAAAAAGTCCCAACAGTTCTATGCAACTTTTGCACCCTCAATACTATTTACTGCTTTTCTAATGTGCCTATCACCTGTGAATTTAGTGAGGCTTAAACTCATACTTGTTCCAAATCAAATGAAAACGCTGAATAGCACTAGGCCTTCAAAAGATCTTCCTCCCTCCGAGGCTTTTCCTTACCAATTGCTTTACGAAATGTGAAGTAAGCTTTTAATCTATTTGTCACTATCATATTTTTTAGGGTCATGTTGTTCTAGGACAAAACCCTGACAATACTTACCACATTTACCCAGATACCTGCTTCTACTAAAACTCAATGAAAAAAAATGTCTGACAAGACCCATTTTCCTTAAATCCTTCCCGACTGATATTAATTATATCCAATTATTTTGTTATTAATTGGACCTCATTATGTTTCCTCTAATCCTGTCTGAGACCAACTGACAAAAAGTTCCCTTCAGACAACCCAGTAATGGGCAAATTGGAATAAGGTGACCGTGTGAGTGCCCTGCAGAACAGGGCATACTTTAGAGAGCTCCCTTCCTTAAATACGTTTTCAGCTGCCAAGGCAGCTCTTCTCAAGGATGATGTCACTCCTGTGGCAGAACTGACTGCCACCAAGAACTGTATTTGCCTTAATCTCACAGGTATGAAGTGAGTGGCAGCGTCCCCTTCTCTGCCCCAAGGAAAGAGTCACCATTTCTCACATCCTCTTCTGTATCAGTCTAACGCACAACTCTTCAAAGCCCTTTCAGCTGCTGACAGATTTTTCTGTGCTCAGAGGCCATCAAGTCTTGAAAAATCCATGTGAGTTCTGCAATAGCTCATCACAAGGTCATCATTATATAATTATTACTCTTATACAGAATTACTCTAAGATAGATGCTTACTGAGTTGACGTTTCTGAGGGACAGTGTGCATCTTTCACTGTTGTCCTTACACTGCCTCCTCTCTTCACGCTTCCTTTTCCCCCACCAAGGTATTTGGTACTTTCCTTCTCTGTTCCTTTTTGTTCTCAATTTTCTCCCCCATGTTTGCTCAGTTTGCTGGATACTACCAACACAAAAAGAAACCAGCATGATGCATATGCTATGGACCCTCCCATACTTTAAAATTAATTGATATTGATTTAACCCTGAGATTAGGAATTGACTGAATTTCAACTCAATCAGCTTTGCTCTTAAATTAA